GCTGTATCTCCACCTTCAGTCTGCCTTTACCTTGCAAGAAGCTCAAACTTGGGAGCTTTGCCTCTTTTATTTTCCATCCCTGTTGTTATCCTCAGGAATGCAGGGGTATCTTCCCGTATACTGGACTCTTTCTGCAGTTGTTGCTGTTGGAGAATTCCCCTTCCTGTAACTCACTTCTTTATCACATTTTAAACACAGTATTTTACCAATGTGGTGAGAACATCTGTTCTCATAGTCTGACATTTTTGCTGTTGACTTGGGCTTGGAGCTGTTCTGATTCCAGCCCATGGCTTCCACAGGAAAGGGCAAACTATCATGCCCTTAGTACATGGAATTTCCTATGACCGGGAGTTTGCTTCTTTGAAGATGTAGAGTGAATTTCAGCTTACCTCAGGTTTGGTTTTAATCAAGGTTGTTTTAGCAAAAGAATGGTTTTGTTCCATAAAGAAAAGAGCTTTTATATGATGAAAAGTGAAGAGGTTAAAATGAGAAGCATTCATATGTGCTTTTTTTGTAGATCTGACTCGTATTGTCTTGCAGTATATATTTTCTCTCCTGGAGCATATTATGTATATAAGGGTTGTCAAGCACTGGGCTGCCCAGGGAAGTGGTGGAATCCCCATCCCTGGAGGCATTTCAAAGACAGGTAGAGGTAGCACTTAGGGACATGGTTTAGTGGTGGGATGGCAGTGCCAGGTTTATGGTTGGCCTCAATGATCTTAAGGGCCTTTTCCAGCCTGAATGATTCTGTGATTCTATGTATATCACAAGCTGGCCTGTAAGACACTTAGTTCAGGGTAGGATGCCAGCACTTTCTGCTAAAATCATTGGGATCTGCAGATTTGGGGAGCTCAGGAATTAAGATCTAAGTTTGTATTGCTAGCTCTTCCCATGTTTGTTATCCTAAGCTGCACTGACAGTCTGAAAAGGTGATTCTTCTAACCTAATTGTAGTATTTGTATCAGAAGGCTTTTCAAGCAAAATGATGCCCACGTAAATATGTTTCATTGCTGTTTTAGGGAGAGCGCAGCACCTGGAACTGGAGCGGATGTCCAAGCCATTCAGTTTTGCTTTGCTGTCACTGGAAGCTTTATCATATAATCCTGTTCATTAACTGAGTACGTTTTATTTTAAATCTGCAAAGAAGCTGCCCTACATAGCCCAGTATTCCAGTACTTAACTCTCATATAAGTAGAAAGTGGCTTTCCCCTAGTACGTAACCTAAGTGTTCCTTGCCAATGTCATCCTCCCTACAGGAACCATTTCAGGGTAGAAGACTGTGATCATGCTCAGCCTGGTGGTTTTCTTGCCTGTAGATTTTGCTGTTCTCTTCAGGTTGTCCCACTCTGGAGTCTCCTGTGTGGCCACAGTTCTCCTGAAATGAACCACAGAAGAGCGAGCACCACTTCGCCATGGAGGACTGGCAGTGCTGAGGGGACCGGAGTAGTTAGCGTTTAGCTTTTGCTAACATGTCCCAGCGTGCCCTCGCCTTTGGTGGCATTATCTGAGTGGTCTGGTTGCTGTAATTTGCTTTGTCATCTTCTCCCTCTGAATCTTTTCTTTAGCACGATTACCCCACCAGATATGTGCCGCTCTATAATTGCACTTAGCATTTCTCCTTGCTTCGTGTCCTGCTGTGAACTCTGTCCTGTTGGGTTTGGGTCATCTCTCCAGTGAATCAAAGTCTTTCTAAACCTGTCTTCTGGAGTGCCGTGCCTCCCAGCCCAACTTTCTGGGCAACAGGGAGCTGGTTTGGATGTTCGCTGCAGCAATTACCTTTTCATCCAAACTGTCACACTTACTGCTGTTGATAGGCAGGGGAGATGAGACGTCTCTGTTTTAAACCACATGCTGCTCCAACAGGGATGGACGTGCACATATAGCACAGCTTATGGTGAGGAGGGAAGCCTACAGAATATTATGCTGTCTTTCTGCGGCCACAGCAGCAGCAATTAGTGACCTGTGGACACAATAAACTTCTTCCCTGTGTTGAGATCTTTCTCAGCCCCATTAGTGCTTGGCTTTATATTTGAAGGTTGAGCCTGGAAAGATTAAAGCACAAGTAAAACTTGCTTACAAAGCAACTCTTGTACAAGAGTATCTGAAAATAGTCCTATGAGGTCCAGCAGGGCTTCTCTCATCAGAATGCATTTATCAGTGTTTGCATGGCTGCAGATTTTGTTTGCCAGATGCTGCTGTCGTAATTGCAGAGCTCAACACCTCTTTTACCTTTCCCGGTCTCTACGTACAAATTCTTAAGGATGGACTTTTCACCCGCACTTCTACGGGGCTGGTGTCCAGAGTTCTCCTCCCAGTTCAGGGCTCCAGCATCCTCTCTGCCAGCAGATTTATCTGCTCCAAATGGGATCAGACATCTGCTGTTCTTTCCTTTCGAAAGCCTACACAACCAGCGGTCTTAAAACAGAGTTTTTCTCTGTTTGCCAGTAGAAAAGAGCTACTGGGAAAAAAGACTTGCAAACGTGCAGCTCTTGGCATGCTCATCTCTGATGCCCATAGTCTCCCCACTTCTGCTGGTGGGCCAGGCAGAGCTCCCATGCGTCAGCAGGTTCCTGTCTCTTCCCCAAACTCCTACTGCCTTTCTCTTCAGGAATCACTTTAAATTCTCCAAGCAGGCTTTTCTTTTTCTGTGTCCTCAGAGTTTTTCCTATGTGCTGAAAACTCAGGTTTTTAGAACAGCTGAAAAAGAGGTGGAACCATCCGATTATTGAAAACGGCATTCTAGCACTGTCCCCTAAGAGCTCTGGAGTTTTTGCTGGAAGGTGTCTTAAGTTGAATCACATTTTTCCTATCTTGTTTTCCAGACAGCTCCCTGCCGAGTTACCAATATTTGTTTATGCAAGGTCATGCAATAACCATTAAAATCTTCAGGCCAAAGTACAGTGTCATTTTATATTTTGTATTTTTAAAATAAAAAATAGAGATTATTGTGTAATCCATTAAGTACAGGTTGAAGTACCAAGCAATTTCACCTCTGTCACAGATGTGATAAGGGCCCTGTCAAAATCTCTGTCTTCTGTGATCAGACCATGTTAAATAAGCACAAGAGAAGAGCAACTATGTCCCAGGAGAATCATAGAATCGTTTAGGTTGGAAAAGACCTTTAAGATCATCAAGTCCAACTGTTAACCTAACCCTGCCATCCCACCACTAAACCATGTCCCTAAGCACCTCGTCTGCCCTTCTTTTAAATACCTCCAGGGATGGGGACTGGACCACTTCCCTGGGAAGCCCGTTCCAATGCTTAACAACCCTTTCATTGAAAAAATTTTTCCTAATGTCCAACCTAAACCTGCCCTGGAGCAACTATGTCCAAAGAGAGGTCTTCCTAGCCACAGATCCTGTCTGCAGCAGTGGCCAGTAGCCGGTACCTCAGGAGGAGAATAAGATGCAAATATGCTCACTTCTTGGAGGCTTCTCAGGTCGTGCTCCTCTACAGTTTGTGTCTCACAGTCTTGTGGTTATAGTTTTGTTACCAAAAATCTGCTGCCACCTTTGACAAGTTCTGGAACGATTGTGAGGAGACCCAGATGTATTCACGTTGTCAAGGCCAAAGTATATTGCTGGAAATTGTGTCCCAAGGTGACAAGGTTTGAATCATGTATAGGTGTAAATCCTGATGCTTAAGGGTGGCCCAGACTTAAGGGAGATTTC